TGCTAATAGGATTACCCTCCAAGTAAGCCGGTTTCAGATGGTCAATGCTGACGGTGTCCTCGTGGCCGTTTTTGCCCAAGACAAAGAATTTATCAGAACGTTTAATTACCTTATAAGGTCCGTCATATGGGGGTTCCAGGGGTCTGCGCACAGAGTCGCGACGAACAAATACATGTGAAGAAGTTTTCAAACACGGATGAACGAAAACATCAATGGACTGTGGACGAAGGGGAGTAGGTTTAACTGAACGCATTGCGTTTCTAAGTTTGCTGACGTATGAAGCGTGATCTACCACTGGTGGGAAGCTCTAGGGAGAAACAAATTCACCAGGCAGTCGCAGTGTCGTGCCATATACTAGCTCGGCGCTAGTACAACCAGCATCAGTTTTCAAGGCGTTTCGTATCCCTAGGAGAACTAACGGGAGGGATTCAGTCCAATGGGTGGTGTTTGCGGCTGACAGACCAGCTTTCAGCTGTCTGTGTAGACGTTCTACCATACCATTAGCTTGGGGGTGGTAGGCTGTTGTTCGAAATCGCATGCAACCTATGATTTTAGTCATGGCAAAGAATAAGCCACTTTGAAATTGCCGGCCGCGATCAGTTGTTATGGAAGATGGGCATCCAAAGTTAGCAATCCATCTTTCTACGAAGACTCGTGCGACTGTTTCAGCAGATACATCCTTGATGGGTACTGCTTCCGGCCATCGTGTGAAGCGATCTATGCAAGTTAAAATATAGGTACATCCATGGGATTCAGGAAGGGGTTCAACCAATCTATATGGACGTGTTCGAAACGAGCGTCAGGGAGAAGAAAGGTGCCAAGTGGGCTTTTGGTGTGTCTTATCACCTTGCACTTTTGACAAGCTAAGCACGTGTGTGCCCATTCCCTTACTTCTTTATTCATGCCAGGCCAACAAAATCGACTAGTTACGAGCTTGACAGTAGTTCGAATACCTAGGTGAGATAAGCCATGCAACGTATTGAAGACGTTACGGCGATAACTTTTAGGCACGATGGGGCGAGGAGTACTCGTGGAAATGTCACATAGAATATTATCTCTTCCCATACCTAAGGGTTTCTCAGCTAATTGTAGAACTGTTTTCGACAACTCATGTTGAAGTTCGGCATAGGATATGGTGAGATTTTAAGCCAGTTTGTAGTATCCCGTGACTTATTCACGATATTGCTAATTAATGCACGTTCCTTAATCAATAAAATATTTGAACTAAGGACATTATTATTAGTCGCCAAGCCTACTGTAGCTCTGATTACTGAATCATGGTGCTCATCCTCTGTACTTGATGTGCATATAGGTATCGATGATTACACTGTACACCGTGCAAACAGAGATTGAAAGCGTGGTGGAGGATGTCTCATATATATACATAGCTCATTTGTAGTCAGTAAGGTGGAAGATGAAACAATGAATAATGTACCTGACTCACTCTGGGTTGTCTTACATGGAGATAAGTACAAACTTCTCATAGGCTGTGTTTATCGAGCACCAAGCTCAACAAAAGAAACTGATGCGTTATTAGCTAAATCGTTTGCACACGCATCCTCGTTTAGTGCTAATTACAAAATAATTGCAGGGGACTTCAATCTTCCAGAAGTTAATTGGCTAACTAGTTCCGGCCCCCAACGCTTCGACGAATTACTTGCCACTATAGACTGCTATGGATGGCAACAACACGTCAAGACGCCTACTCGTGGTGACAACATGTTGGACCTTGTTTTTTGTCATGACACAATCCCAGTATCCACGTATGTTGGTAATCGATTTTCCAGTAGTGACCATAGAATGGTACTCTGCTCTCTGCCTTTCTCACCACTAAATACAGGAAACAAACAAGACTCAGGAAGCACAATATGTCGTAGTTACAAATATACAGACTGGGGATTAGTCCAAGAACTTATTCGACTCTGTCAATGGGATGACTATTTTACCACTGACTCCCTGGAGGCCTTAGTAACCCTGTTTTACAGGAATGTTACCCTTTGTCTAGATACAGTTGCTCCAAAGAAAATAGTGAAATTAGGTAGACACCGAACTGAATATATTCCAAGGGCACACCGTAATAAGTTAAGGAAACTGAAGAAACAGTACTATTCCACTAAGGACATATCACTATTGCTCTCAATCCACGAGTCTCTTGAATCTCTCAAGCGCCTACGCTCTCAAAAGGACCTCGACGAAGAGTTAACGGCACTTGAAAGTACCTCCAAAGTTTATAACTTAACGGTACTTTCTAAAAAACGAATGCAGTCGGCGAGGGAAATCCCATACTTACTTCACGACAAAGTAATCTACAATGAACCTGCCACTATCTGTGAACTCTTCAGTGATTGGTTTGCAAACTTTAGTTTAGAAACACATATGCCTGGCGAAACCGCTCCCCTTACTATCTCTTCCCTTGAAAGCATTGTGTTCACTAATCAGTTAATAGTACAAGCAATTAAAAGCCTTAAACCTTCCACTAGTACGGGACCGGATGGCCTCGCTTCGATAATTTTCAAAAACAGTGGGTGTGATATACCCTTGTTACTTCTTAAATTCTTCTCAATATCTATGGACACTGGCACTTACCCTAGTGAGTGGAAAACTAGCTTCATAATTCCACATTACAAATCTGGTGATAGGGCAAACGTCCGCAATTACAGACCCATAAATATAACCCCAGTTATCTCACGAATCATGGAGAAAGTTGTAAAAGATCAATTGTCAGACTACCTAATTAGGGAAGATCTTGTTACAAGGTCTCAACACGGATTTCTCAAAAATAGATCCTGCGTTACTTGCCACTTCGACTTTTTCAACTGCATCACTAGTAGTCGCGAAGCACGTAAGCTAGTCGTTGTTCTCTACTTCGATATATCTAGGGCATTTGACATGGTATCTCACAGTATTCTCTTTGAGAAGCTGTACTCTTGTGGAATTCGCAACCCATTACTGAACTGGTTAAAAACCTTTAATAATAATAATAATAATAATAATAGTATATTCTCATTTTGTACATGAGAGACGCCAGTTTACAGGCATCATCAATATGATAAATTACATATACGATTAGCAATCATAATTAATAATAATGTTTTAATAAAGTACACATTTTTTCCTACTTGTGTAGGACACACCAAATATACAGGCATGGATAAGCATAAATTAAATTTCATAAATTCGGTTTATGGTTAAGTTACATGGTTGCTGGCGTTTTTGTTTTAATAATAATTATAATAATGTATATTCTCATATAAACATATAAATTTACATGAAAATGCATGCCATTTTTTTAGGTCTGTGGGAACAATATGATAACCAGTCATTCAATGGAGCACATCATGAAATATAGGAATATTGACTTCGCATTAACAAAAAAAACCCAAGTAAGTTTCGGATGGATTAAAAATACTTGGGAAAAAATAAAGCTTGAAGTTATTCCACAATATAACAAGTCATTCAATGGAGCACATCATGAAATATAGGAATGTTGTCTTCGCATTAACAAAAAAACCCAAGTAAGTTTTGGATGGATTAAAAATACTTGGGAAAAAATAAAGCTTGAAGTAATTCCTCAATATAACCTGGGTGTGTACAAATCCGAATCTCATTTTTGATTTGATTTATATCCAAATTGGGTAATAAGGAAGCTATTTTTACAGATACGATCAGTTATGTTATAAGCTACAATCGTGAAGTTGTATTACAAATTGATACTTTTCCATTGGTATAAGAGTATATTCCACAAATGTAATCCAGGTTGCGTCGTGGAGAAAGTTAATTCGTTATTAACCAGGCAACTGAAAGATACGGGACCAATAATGTTTGCAGATCATTTGTCATTGTAAATGGTCAAATATCCACATTATTCATTCTCATTCAAAAAGTCAAATGGAAGCTGAAATGGTGAGAGAAAAAAGAAGACAAACAACAGCAACGCAAAAGAAAGCAACGGGAGTCCTTAAGGAGTGATTAATAAATATACACATATATATTCTCTTTAGTAACTGTGGTTATTTTGGTACACAAACTAACTAGTCCCGTTATGCTAACTTTTATATTATGTGTGAACTAATATTACTGTCCTGTGTAGAAATGTTAATCATCTAGTTCCAATAATATTAAAATTTATAATTGTAGTTTGCTGTAACTACACGTTTAAACAACTTAAAATATCTATGTAGGGTGAAAAAGAGGGTGTAAGAGTTAGACGTATAAGTGCATTGTCATCTTTGAGCAGTCTGGTGACTGAGGAGATGAACACTGGAAGTGTGTTTGCATCGCGCACATTAGCTGGTAGTCTATTCCAAATGACTGAAAACTTATTTAAGAAGAAGTTGTACCGCACGTAAGTCTGACAGTGCTCTATAGCAGCTAGGTTGTGATGATTTCTAAGATTGTAACTGACGACAGCGGTAGGTTTAGTTATTGGCTCGGAGGAATGCAAGAGAAGATTAGTTAGCTTATAGTAAAAGATTAGGTTTAGCTTAAGGCGTCTTTTCCAGAGGGGTTCTAATCTTAGTCTTTCGCATCTCTCATGGTATTCCAGACTACTTTCTAAACCAAGAGTTCTTGAGGTAAACTGCCGTTGCACTCCCTCTAATTTAAGCTTGTCATTTTGTCTTAGTCCGCTAAGAATAAACGGGCAGTATTCTAAGATAGGTCGGACACATACTTTGTATAATAAAACCCTAGTTTCACAACAAAAGAAATTGCGTGTTATGCATCCTATCAGCCTACGCGTTTTACGTCTGGCATAATCAGTCTGTTCAGCGAACGTTAGGTTACTAGAGTATCTAATACCGAGATCTACGACTGAATTGAGCTTAGCTAGTTTTCGCCCATTTATTTCAAGGTTTAGATCAAGCTTACTGTTGCCGATACAAATCCAGCCGCATTTGTCAATGTTAAAATTTAGGCAGGATTCAGCAACAGGGTACAAATAACCAAAGTTGGATCTGTATTGTCTCATCCTAGGCAGATCTCAAGTGGGGTCGTGCAAGGTAGTGTCCTAGGTCCACTTTTATTCACAATCTACATTAACAGCATTTGCAAGCGCTTCACCTTAGGCAAACCATTCCTATATGCTGACGACCTCAAAGTCGTCTACTCCTGCTACACTCATGAATTAAGCGATATGGTTACTAAAATACATCTTGAACTAAGTAGTCTCGCATCATGGTGTGCCGATTCCTGTCTAAATTTTAACATTGACAAATGCGGCTGGATTTGTATTGGCAACAGTAACCTTGATCTAACTCTTGAAATAAATGGGCGAAAACTAGCTAAGCTCAACTCAGTCGTAGATCTAGGTATTAGATACTCTAGTAACCTAACGTTTGCTGAACAGACTGATTATGCCAGACGTAAAACGCGAAGGCTGATAGGATGCATAACACGCAATTTCTTTTGTTGTGAAACTAGGGTTTTATTATACAAAGTATGTGTCCGACCTATCTTAGAATACTGCCCGTTTATTCTTAGCGGACTAAGACAAAATGACAAGCTTAAATTAGAGGGAGTGCAACGGCAGTTTACCTCAAGAACTCTTGGTTTAGAAAGTGGTCTGGAATACCATGAGCGATGCGTAAGACTAAGATTAGAACCCCTCTGGAAAAGACGCCTTAAGCGAAACCTTATCTTTTACTATAAGCTAACTAATCTTCTCTTGCATTCCTCCGAGCCAATAACTAAATCTACCGATGTCATCAGTTACAATCTTAGAAATCATCACAACCTAGCTGCTATAGAGCACTGTCAGACTTACGTGCGGTACAACTTCTTCTTAAATAAGTTTTCAGTCATTTGGAATAGACTACCAGCTAATGTGCGCGATGCAAACACACTTCCAGTGTTCATCTCCTCAGTCACCAGACTGCTCAAAGATGACAATGCACTTTTTCGCCTGACTCTTACACCTTCTTTTTCACCCTACATAGATATTTTAAGTTCTTTAAACGTGTAGTTACAACAAACTACAATTATAAATTTTAATATTATTGGAACTAGATGATTAACATTTCTACACAGGACAGTAATAATATTAGTTTACACATAATATAAAAGTTAGCATAACGGGACTAGTTAGTTTGTGTACCAAAATAACCACAGTTACTAAAGAGAATATATATGTATATATTTATTAATCACTCCTTAAGGACTCCTGTTGCTTTCTTTTGCGTTGCTGTTGTTTGTCTTCTTTTTTCTCTCACCATTTCATCTTCCATTTGACTTTTTGAATGAGAATGAATAATGTGGATATTTGACCATTTACAATGACAAATCATCTGCAAACATTATTGGTCCAGTATCTTTCAGTTGCCTGGTTAATAATGAATTAACTTTCTCCACGACGCAACCTGGATTACATTTGTGGAATATACTCTTATACCAATGGAAAAGTATCTATTTGTAATACAACGTCACGATTGTAGCTTATAACATAACTGATCATATCTGTAAAAATAGCTTCCTTATTACCAAATTTGGAAATAAATCAAATCAAAAATAAGATTCGGATTTGTACACACTCAAGTTATATTGAGGAATTACTTCAAGCTTTATTTTTTCCCAAGTATTTTTAATCCATCCGAAACTTACTTGGGTTTTTTTGTTAATGCGAAGTTAATATTCCTATATTTCATGATGTGCTCCATTGAATGACTTGTTATATTGTGGAATAACTTCAAGATTTATATTTTCCCAAGTATTTTTAATCCATCCAAAACTTACTTGGGTTTTTTTGTTAATGCGGTTAATATTCCTATATTTCATGATGTGCTCCATTGAATGACTGGTTATCATATTGTTCCCACAGACCTAAGACAAAAACGCCAGCAACCATGTAACTTAACCATGAACCAAATGTATGAAATTTATATAATGCTTATCCATGCCTGTATATTTGGTGTGTCCTACACAAGTAGGAAAAAATGTGTATTTTATTAAAACATTATTATTAATTATGATTGCTAATCGTATATGAAATTTATCATATTGATGATGCCTGTAAACTGGCGTCTCTCGTGTACAAAATTAGAATATACTATTATTATTATTTTTATTATTATCTTCTTTTTGAAGACGAGCCAGTTTTACTAAGTCTATGCCGTCGATTTGGGTTAGGGAACAAACGCGCGACAAGGCATCTGCCACAGGGTTGTTTACTCCAGATACATGGCGAATATCTGATGCAAACTGTGAGACGTAGTCCAGTTGTGGTGATTCCCTGGGTGAATACTTATCTGAAGGTGAGTTAAGAGAGTACGTCAGACGTTTGTGATCCGTAAAAATTATGAATTCACGACACTCTACTGAATGTCTACAATGTCGTATAGCGCAGTACATTGCCAGAAGTTCTCTGCCGAATGTGCTGTACTTCGTTTCTGCTAATTGAAGGCGCCTGGAGAAAAAGGCAAGTGGGTGCCACTCTTTGTCAACTAGCTGTTGTAGAACTGCGCCGATTGCAATGTTTGATGCATCAACCGAGATACTTAACGGGGCCGTTGGATCCTGATACATCAGAAGTGTGGCAATCGCAATAGCTTTTTTAATCTGGGTAAAAGCATTTCGAGCAGACGCGTCAAGTTCTATGGACTTGTTATTCCCTCGAAGGAGGTCTGTCAATGGCTGAATCAAAGAGGCACAGTTGGGAATAAAGCGTCGATAATAACTTACTAAGCCGTTAAAAGTGCGGAGACTTTTCACCGTCTGCGGCTCTGGAAAGTTCAGTATAGCCTCGACCTTAGCAGCCAGTGGGCGAATGCCCTTGCAGTCAATAGTGTGACCCAGGAAGTCGAGTGAGCCGACACCAATTTGACATTTTTGAATGTTGATGGTAACACCATGTTGGCGTAACCTGTCAAATGCCAAGTCCAAGTGCCTAATGTGAGTTTACTTGTCTGGACTGGCAATGAGACAGTCGTCTAAGTATGCGTATACAAAGTCGAGACCGCGAAATACTTCGTCAATGAAGCGTTGGAATGTTTGGGCTGCATTCCGGAGACCGAATGGCATACGTAGAAATTCAAAAAGTCCGAAAGGCGTAATGACAGCCGTTTTCGGGATGTCTTCTTTTGCCATTGGGATTTGGTTATACGCTTTAACCAAGTCGATTTTGGAGAATATAGTCGCGCCGGATAAGGTTGCCGTCAAGTCGTGTATATGAGGCAACGGGTAGCAATCAGGGGTTGTTTCGGCATTCAGGAGCTAATCGTCGTGCTTTAGATGTCACAGGTTGTCCTGTGGTAGTGATGTGGTGCATAACATTGCTGGTTATGCACGGTAGGTCGTTCGACGGGCAATTAATTTCCGGATACTTGTCAACGATAGGTTGAAAAGTTGGATCAAGAGTTGCCTTTATCTTAACGGGTGACAGACTTGGGCCTATGAAGCTGATGCCTTTGATAGACAGACTAGTAGTATTGTCAATCAGTCGTTTTCGACGGACGTCTACGAGTAAATCATGATGATTAAGTAGGTCCGTGCCAATGATGGGCATTGTGACGACAGTGAGAAGGAAAATCCGTCGAATAGGTTTGCGTAAACCTACATTCAGATAGACGTATTTCCTACCAAAGGTTGCGATTGGTTTTCCATTTGCAGCCTGTAAGTTGAAGGTAGGTTCCTTCTGTCGATCTGCTGCTGTAGCAGGAAGGACGCTGACTTCGGCGCCTGTGTCGACTAAGTATCGAGTCTGGCTTATCACATCATGGATGTAAAGAAGGCGGCTAGTGCCACCGGCGACGGTTGCCGCTAACGCGTGCCGGCGGGATAGTTTCCCGCAGACTTTGAGACATTTCCGAAGTTACAAGGCTTACGGCAACACTTCGCTTCTTGGCCATAGGTGTTGTGGTACCAGCACCAGTCAGGGTTTTACAGTGAACGTGGTTTGGACTTAGATCGACCACGTGAGTTCCTGCGTTGGGGAGATTTAGGACGACGATCAGAGGAGTTGGAAGACATGTTCGACCTAAACATCTGCTGGATGGAGTTGCATAACTATCATTGCAGGATCCTTACTCGAAGTCTGCTTAGTCATCGAGCATATTTCGGGGACAGACCGTTTGGTAATCTCTAGAATTCTATCTATAATAATAATAATAATAATTTATTTTCATATAAACATAAATTTACATGAAAATGCATGCCATTTTTACAGGCACGATCAAGGATGATATAATGTCAAATCTTAAATTGTCTACAAGTTAATAATGTTTCAACAGTTTAATATTTGATATATATATATATATATAATTACACTGATTGTCTGAACCAGGCCGTATAGTTATTGAATTGTAGAGTTGTCCTCCAGGTTGAGCGGGAAAATCGACTTCGTTTCGTTTTCATCCCGTGGTTGTCTGCATACGATAACCAACCAATATTGAGGTAAGTACAACGTTTACAAGGGGTTGAAAGCTGTTTTAGAAAAGTAAAAGTGCTAAGGTGAATCAATAAAGTGTAATGAAATAGGTAAGTGCAAGTATCATTAACAAATGCATTAATAAAGGAAAGTCCCTAGGCTGACAACGTTCACTTGCAATGTATAATGCTATCCATATAGTTCGTACTATCATGATGTCCACTTTTGGCTTTAATACAATTATTTTCAAGCCAGTTGTTTTTATTTCATGTCTTCTTTTCTATTTGGTGCACAACCGTACCCTCCAGAGAATAGGAATAGAATAAGTCGAATCAAATTCATAAAGAGCTATAAAATGTTAGGTTTAATGGAATATAATGAGAATCAAGTAAAGACGTTATTAGAAAATAAGTGAGACAAGATATTGTGAAGTGGTATTTAAAGATCTGACAATGGATAGCAAGTTAATTTATAAGATGCCCCATAAATCTGTGCAGATCCCACGTGGTCGCATCTCAACAATAGGCTGAGCGAATGGTATATATTTAAAGGTAGAAGCATTATCTGTCAAGGCGTTCACTATTATCTTTTTCAAGATAAAGATCTAAGCCCTCATAAAAATCAGAAATATCTCGAGCCTTTAATTTGTATATTGCTGTTCCTGCAGAATGGGGCGATTCACCTTAGTGACCACCACCATATCTACTGATCAGCTAACGCCACCCTCCCTCCTTTTTTGATGTTAGGCTCTGAGACTATGATTATTATGGCTACCGCAAATATATTGCTTGGTACCAGACATGTTCGTACCCCATATTCCATCTCCCTAGCTTTCTTAATGAGTGCTTCCAATAGGTCTCCACGTACATCTTTACGAACATATTATATATGTGTGCATGCATCCTGATGAACAGATTACTTTATAAGAAGTTAAAACCTTA